TTTTTGGGGTTTTTTTTCTAATTTTTGTCAGGATATCTTTAGAGCAGACGTTCGTGGTTCTCAAGTGATGAGTCCTGATGATTTCTCCTGACTCTTTTCTCCTGTTGACATGTGCTGTTTGGAGATAAATGCATCCATTGTCTAACTGTGTTACCTGTTAGACTGATAAAATGAAACACGTCCATCTATCCACCATGAAGCCGGTCCTACCTCTATCAGCGGGTGCCAGTGTGCGATGGGTTTCCGTGGGTACGTCAGCATCTCGCTCCAGTGGTCTCGGCCCAAACTCTCGGCCTCGTTGCCCACCCTGCACACCCCGATCACCTCGTTGTGTCCGACCCTGTGGGACAGCAAACAACAGCAGCCATATAGACCCTCAGCGTTCTGTCGGGGAATGTGCTGGACAGGCGAGAGAGATATCTGACCGGTCGTAGTCCATGACGGCGATGAGCAGGCTGATCTGGTCGATGTTCTCGGGCGGAACATCGAACACAATGGCTTCATTGTACACCGGGTTCAGAGTGTTGCGCTTGGTCGACGTCTTTCTCTTCTTTAGCCTCCGGCCTTCGCACATCAAAGACACTTTTACGTACGGATCTGAGGGGAAAAAATGTGGATTTTTTTAGTTAGAATGCAGAAATACCTTCTAGCAGAAAGTCGACGCTGTCAGTCAGATACCCACCTGAAGCTCCGGTGATGTCCATGGCTTTGAGATTTCTGGCTTTGATCATGGTGATGGTGAGCCTGCCGGCCGTGGGGAGATAGCACAGCGAGAACATCAGCTCTCCAAGGTCCACGTTGTCCTGCCAACACATATGAGATCGCATTTCTGCATTAGCTCGTTCTCCTCGCGTGCTGTAGAAAGTTTCACTTTCATATCAAACTTTGATTGACTTTTGAGAGAACCTGCTGTCGTCACAGATGGCAAACACTGAAATCTGTGTGTAGACTTTGTTCCAGCTGAGAAAACTTGATGCTGGTATAAGTGATGTAAGAAATGTGGATAAACTACATGATGAAAAGCACAACTGCTGCTAAAGCTAACATGCATTTGTTTTAGGAAGTTCAAAGGAACGACATGGATCCAGACAGTTGGTCGCTACAGTGTGAACGAGGACGAAACTCGGGCCTGGCTTCGGTTTGGGTCGACCGATTCTTGGATCAGCATTTCTTTTCTGATTTCAGAATAAAACAAGTGAATTGAAAACAGCACTACTTTGGCTCTGATGCAGCCGCCTCTCTCCATCTGTAGTCGCCGGTCTGTGGTTTGTGTTCGTCCAATTTTTTTGCACCAAAATTTTTCCTGCAAACGTGTATCAATCCCAAATATCAGAAATCAGGCCCCTTGATTGAATCTGTGTCCTGAAAACCCCGTCTTTGGACTAAACCTCATAAAGGGTGAAGGCTTTGTGATCAAAACCAAACAAGGCTGCAGCAGATTCAACAGAAGGCGCATTATAACATGTCAAACACGAGCGCTTACAGATATGGATTATGGCTGCGACACCTTGGGTAGGAAACCTGGACAGCTTCTCTAAACCCCATCAAACGCCAGGACTGACCATTAAAGGAACCTGATTTTTTTTAGCATGAGCTTCAACTTGTCTGCCGTCACGTTTCACCTCCTCCTGTTCTTCCTACGAGAACCTCCCCGATTTCACAACCTCCCCCACGTTCGTGCACACGTCGAGCTCTCTTCCTAATTAACACGTCTGAAAATAACGTGCGATGGTGTGAAGGTGAGCACTGTGTTTACGAGACGCAGCACTGACGTGACTTCTTACAGGGAAACTCTGATTTCTAGTCTTCTTGCACAAACTGAGGCAGGACGGAGCGTAGCGGCAGGAAATCAGAACGAAAAGAGCAAAATCCTGGATTGTGGAGATTCTAAAGGACTGACTTGCAGTTGTTATAATACAAGCTTTTATAAGTACAAAAAAAGGTGGACTTCACATGAATTTACAAAAAACAGTCTTTGACGTCAAAGTGAGGGGGAAAGTGTTTTACAGTCATATCAACTGATTAAAGTGATTGCACTGATATTCACCCACTTCAAAGCAGCCCAACTATTGAAACTCAGGTGCAGCCAGTCGGTGCTAGAAGTCAGTGAATGCATCATGTGAGGTCAGTGAATGAGTCTCAGTGGTTCTAGTGTAAAGACTCCTGTATCTGGAAGGTCCAGTCTCTGGTGGATCAGAACTCTTGGATAGAACCACACCATGAAGACTGAAGAACCCTCCAGGAACTCTGTGGAAAGGTTGTTGAGAAGCATCAGTCAGGAGACGATACAAGAACATCTACAAGTTACTGAACATCTCTGGAGTCCAGTTAAATCCATCATTAAGACATGGAAGGAACATGGAACATGAGTAGAACTGACTAGAGCAGGACGTCCTCAGAGACTGAGTGACCGAGCAAGAAGGAGACTAGAGAGGGAGGCCACCAAGACTCCTTTGACTCCTCTGAAGAAGTTTCCAGCTTCAGAGACTGTTCATACAACAACTGTTGTCTG